TTTTCACCCGGGAGAGATGGGGTTTGAGGGAGTGGAAGCCAGACCTGGGCAATATTCACCTGGAAGGGACAGGACTGGGCAAGGGCTTTCTAACCCCCACAAGCACCAGCTTTCATCCAAGGTATTGGTGCTTGAGTCTGGTGTGTTGCTAGAAGGCACCTGGTGCTGGAGCAGGAGGGACTTCCCATCACGCCTTGGGAAAAACGTTCGTCCTTTACAGAAGGACTTTGTACTTTGAGGCTGCACATAGACCCATCGACTTTCTCTTGTGTGCCAATACTATCTCAGCTTTCTCCCCCTTGCATTGCTCTGAGTCAGCTCCATGGACAAAGAGCTTAAAATCTACACAGTGTCGAGCTGCAGCAAGCATCGCGGGCTGGGCACGACGTCTCCGCAGGGCCCTTGGCAGGTCATGGTGTTGAGATAGTTACTAGTGCAGGAAGGAGTTGAGAGATTCAGCTTTCACTTGCACTAGCCTTACCCTTGCTGGCTTTCATGGTGGTCTTCCCAATTCAAAATACATAACTGAGACATGAGCAGGATTAGCTGGTCCTGTTGCTGAAGCAGGAGGCAGAGCAGAACCTCGATTTTTCAGTAGCAGTTGTGTCACTCATCAGCTGGGGTGGGGACACCATGGCCGGACACTCAGGACGAACCCCTAGTGTGGTCCCACAGACTGGAGGCACATCAACATTTTGTCTGGCAGGATCGGGTCTGTGAAGTAAGAAAGTGCTGTTCTCTGTCATCACTGGAACCACTATTTAAATTCCCTTGGATCACAGAGTAATTTTTCCACTCTGTTAAAGGTTTCTTTCGTAAGTGCCACTCCATGTCTCTTGATTTGATTTCCTTGTACCTTTTTTCATCCATTTTTAATAGGCTTCCAGATTTTTAATAGCTTTAGAGATTTCTTTTCTCCTTCATGTCTATGTTGTTGATTGTAAGACTGGCTTTTGGATGTCTCCTTTCTTTGATACCCCGCTTGCCTGGGTCGTCTTTGCACTTATCCTTTAAACATATTCTCAATGTACTTGGTTTACTTCATTGAGCATTTTTGAAAGCATTGCCTTTGCTTTTCCTCTCAACTCTGTTATCTGAATACATCTTAGGTAATTAATCAGCTCCCATTGATCTGAACATACATTTCCAGATTTTTCAGACATTCATTACATGTGCTGAATAGAAGTGAGAGTGGCTTGGATGAGAGAATTCATACCTGACAAACAGCCCATCCACATCGGAGCTGTTCCTTCTCCTCGTGCTCTTCTCATTGAGTAGCTGGGTGGGGGAGCGATGTTTTTCAGACAGCTGTGAGTGAGAAGTAAAAGCTCGGAATATAAATTCACTCTCTTAAGGGCTCTTCTTCCCAGTTCCTCCAGATCAGCAGCCATTTCTGAATTTAAAAAGACCTGGATTAGCTGGTCCCACTAGTTGTTTTTTTATCCCTGAACCCACCTTCAGCTGTAATGCATCTGGAACCCAAAGCACCACCGCATGGCTGGGGGAAACTGGACCGGATAATCTCGAGCTCCTATCGTCTTGCACAGACACGTGTCTTACTGTGAGCACCAGTTACCTTATTTTACCCTGAAACCCAGCCTGTAGCTCTTTATCTGGGCTTTGAGATGAACTGAGGACAGGTAATGAAAGATAATGTTAGATCCAAATTAGAGAACATACATGGAGACGCGGGGAATCGTAGTGTATCCTTGTCTCTGTGTGTCCACTGTCACGGGGGAGCAGGCTGCAGATGAAGAAAAAACCGAGTATGATTTACTGTATCCTGGAGAAAGAGT